AACAACAACAACAACAACTATTACTAGCACGTGGGGACACACCGTTCTCACCAGTGCCAGGGTTTTCATAGGAGGCGGGCAATACCCCCACTTTGTGGGGGGGCCGGTTCAAGCTCTACCAACAACAACAACAACAATTACTAGCACGTGGGGACACTCCGTTCTCACCAGTGCCAGGGTTTTCATAGGAGGCGGGCAATACCCCCACTTTGTGGGGGGGCCGGTTCAAGCTCTACCAAATTTCCAAACGACTCTTCGCCACCACCCACACCCAGCTTCCCGCCCTATGACGTTCGGACACTTCACTTCGTGGCATGCGGACGACCGTGGCTACTATTCAGGGCCCCGCGGCCGACGACGACGGCGTGCGCGCGCGAAGAAAAAACGAATGTGTCCCGCATGGTATTATTTGACAGGGATGATGGCCCTGGCAGGTGCGCAACCGTTGTTGCAGAAGTTCGAAAAAGTTGCTCGCAAAAGCCCGTTTGACAGAAATGTTTAAAAAGTGTTGGGTTTCCTACGAATCCGCAAGAGCGCGCGGGATGAAATTTTGACATTTTTTTTTGAAAAACCATTGGTTTTTTTGATGTTTTTATGTTAAAATCGCTACGAAAACTAAGGTTTTGGAAGGATTTCGTCTTGCGCGCGCGAATGTCCACTTTACCTTATTTTTTGCAAGGGATTCTTGAAGTTTGGTTATGTTAGAACAAGAAATGTCCACTTTAGCTTATTTTTTGCAAGGGAAAACCGATCGTAACAACACAACCGGATCCGGACTCCCCGTTTTGCCTGAGACTTCCTCACGAAAATGATGAAAATGAGGCTGCGGCCTAGGCGCGGCGGGGGGGTCGTGCACCAGGGGTCCAAACAATAATTATTCTTAGAAGTTATAATGTTCAACAACAACAACAACAACAACTACTACTACTACTACTACTACTACTACTACTACTACGACTACTACGACTACTACGACTACTACGAACTACTACGACTACTACGACTACTACGACTACTACGACTACTACTACTACTACTACTACTACTACTACTACTACTACGACGACGACGACGACTACTACTACTACTACTACTACTACTACTACTACTACTACTACTACTACTACTACGACTACTACTGCTACTACGACTCCGGGGGCCCCCCGTCTTGAAGAGGAGCCGCTTCCCGGCGAACGGGACCACCTCCCGGCGAACTGCGGCGCTTCCCGGCGGGCCCCCGGCCGCGCGCGCGCCCTGTGCCGTTCGCGCCCCCGTGCGCACCTGCCCTGCCGTGGCATCGCCCGGTCGTCCACTCCACGTGCATTTGTCGGGTTTCCTGCGTGCCGGTTTTGCCAGATGATCTAGGATGCTCCTCGATGGTCCTCGCCGAGAACAAATGCACACGTCCGAGCGATGCCAAGCTAGAGACCGAACAAGAAAACACACGACATGCGGGCGTTCCTTCAGCGCGTGCATGATGGGGTGGCCGCCCAGCTCGGACATGCGGATGCCCTGGAGCGAAGCGGGGACGTGAGCGGGCGGGCCGCAGGCGTTGAGACCGCAGACCCCGCCAGATTGGATCGCGATCCAATTGTTCGGCTGGGTGGACGCCCCGAAAAAACAGTTGTACCGCCATCCAAGGACTCGTGGATCGTGATGCGACTGCTCCTGAGAGGGCCCTCCCCTCAGAGGGGAGCGGCAGCCGACGTCGATCGATGGCGAACCGGGAAGTGGACGAGGGGGGGGGCAGATAGATGGAGAGCGGCAACGAGCAGCGAGGGACGGGCGCAGGGGCAGAAAGCGGAGACGAGAAGGACGCTGAGAGAATACGAGAGAGAGGAGGGGGGGGAAGGGGAGGGGAGGAGGGGGGGGGTAGGAGAAGAAACGCCCAAAAACGCGAGTGAGAAGGCGAGATGGATAAGGGGCGCGAGAGGTGTGTTGTGGGTCGCTCCTCCTGGTCCTCCTCCTCCTCCTCCTCCTCCTCTTCCTCCTCCACCCCCTCCTCCTCCCCAGTCTGCATGTTCGGTCTCAATCGGAGCACAGTTGGTGCCTCGAAGGGACGACGTGGCTTCGATCCATCGCAACAGCCTCCACAAGCCCAAAGAAGACAGGCGACCGAATGCCTGCCTGCCCACCTGGCGCAGAATGTACGGCGAGGATGGAAACACAGAGAGGGATGGAGGGCAACAAAGGAATGGGGAGGGGAGTGAGAAATGAAGAGATTGGAGGGGTGGGATGAGGGGGGAGGGAGGGTGAAGAGGACCTCCTCCTCCCCCCTCCCCCTCCTCCTCCTCCTCCTCCTCCTTCCTCCCCCTCCTCCCTCCTCCTCCCTCCTCCTCCTCCTCCTCCTCCTCCTCCTCCTCCCCCTCCTCCTCCCTCAGCTTCCTCTTCCTCTTCCTCATCCTCCCTCCCGCGTGCAGATATCCGTCCCTCGATCGCATGGCCTTCTTCGGATCCGTCAGACGGATCGTGTTGGCGATGCCCTCTATGATGGCCTGGCTAAGGCGCCGCGCGCCGCAATGGACAATCCGCCACTCCTCCTGCTCCTCATTACCATCCCACCTCATCATTCCGTCATTCTCAGAGAAGTACTTCCGTACTTCCGCACCTCATCGCCACCAACTATCATCATGATCGCACATGTTTCTTCACCCCCCTCCTCAAACCCATCGTCAACACTACCATCATTACAATCAACATCACATTCACAATCTTCATGGCCATGATCATGAACATAACCGTTAGCAGCACCCATCAGAAGTGACACCAGCAATACGACCATCAGTATCAGCATCACAAGCAGTTCCGCGCTACTGCTCCTACCCATCATCTTCCTCATCCCACCTGTTCATCCACCATCTATTTTCCTAGTGGTCACCACCTCATCATCCTTATCCTTCTCCTAATCACTATCACCACCATTATCGTCAGCATCACTCCCCTTCCAGAATCGTCCCATGTATCACTTCCCTACCCCCTCCCCACGACCTCCTCCCCTCCTCCTCCCCATCAGCATGTGACCCCGGGATGCCTGAACCCAATTCCCCAAGACCGGCTTCTCATCTCGAGCGGCGCCTTATCAGTCGTGGGGCCGGTAAGGGCCTGGAAACAGAAACTCACAGCGCGAAGAGGTCAAGGCCCTCATGCTTATCCTGCCTCTCCTGCCTCTCCCCACCCCCCGAAGATAGCAGACTCCGTCGCGGGCCGAGCTTGACAGACACCGATGGGGCAACCGAGCTCCTAATAGTGGCGAGGGAAGAGCTGGCGTGCGGACTCGTCGAAGCAAGGGACTATCTGCCGCCCCCCCTCCTCCTCCTCCTCCTCCTCCCCCCCCTCCTCCTCCTCCTCCTCCTCCTCCTCCTCCTCCTCCTCCTCCTCCTCCTCCTCCTCCTCCTCCTCCTCCTCCTCCTCCCCCCTTCTGCTCCTCCTCTACTCGTTCCTCGTTCTTATCACTCCCCCCCTGTCGCACGACCCGACGTGTCGTTGGGGAGTCTGGGCGCTCCCCCCCCTAGAGGTCTTCCCTGGCCGCGATGCTGCAACCATTCCAGCAGCCGCACGGGTCGAGGGCGGGTCGCCTTCCAGATTTGGACTCTCGCACTCGCGCCGCGCACATTCGTCGGTCTCGCACCGGCGCCGCGCACACGTTTTTTTTTTTTGATTCGCGGCCCGCAAGGAAAAGTCCAGAGGGCGGTGTGAACGAGGCTGGGGCACAGCGCACGGGAAGGCAGATAATTAACGGCGCAGCACAAGTGCCGGCCGAGAAGGTAACCGCGAAGGCGCCGGCAGAAGCCCGGGCGTCACACGCAACTACCAGAAGCAGCTGAGCATGTGCCAGCAGCAGAAAATTAACACGCGCACGCTCGTCTCACCAAATTCCAGCAGTCACACGGATGGAGGGCGCTCTCTTTTCCAAGTGGGGCTCTGGCGTGAGATGGGACGTCGAAGGACGTACCAGCACGATGTGTCCTCCTCGGAGGCGCGCGTCCGACCCGAACATTAGCACAGACATAACGTAGCATATCGTGATCCGAGCGGTATGGCCAGAAAGCGCCCGCAACGGAGCTTGTACGAGAAGGGTTCTCGGCGCGCGCATCGCCCACGTGGGGGCGACGTACACATAGTATCAGTATGCTTGTGTGACGCCGATTAGACTTTCCCAAACTGTATAACCAAAGGTTGCAACTCTGCAGCAACTCCACGGACGGGGGGAGGTGCAAATTCAAGAAGAATCTCTTGCTTGAGATTCACTTTCTTTAGCACACGGCTAAAGAGCAACACCTTTTCAAATGGGGTCTCGCTTGAGACACCATGAGAGTATATGGCCAGCAGCCTGGCAGCGTCCACATGTTGGGAATGGAGGGCGGCTGATGTTTCAGAGCGGGGATGTCGCCGGACGTGTCCCCGAACTGTGGTCATGGCCCCAATTCGTGAAGTCCTGGCAGCTTGAAGGATTGAAGTTGGCGGCGACCGTGAAGGGGAAGTCAGAAGGAGAAGGCCTTTTTCAGAAGGCTCGGAAGTGCTCCGACCTTCTGAGACGTGTCCTAAGCCTTCCCCGAAGGCACAGACAACTTCTCAGAATGCGCGGGGTTTTCTGAGAAGTCGCGCCGCCTTCTGAGAAGGCCTTCTCCTTCTCACTTCCCCCCCCCCCCGCTCGCCGCCGATGAAGGCCGTGTGAACCCGGCGGCCGCAGTTAGGGGAGGCCTTCCAAATAACTGTTGCTTGGCGTTGATGTGTATCGCTTGGCGTTGCTTGCCGTTGTTTGACATTGCTTGGCACTGCTTGACATCGGTTGAAATCTCTGGGCACCGTTTGGCATTGTTCGGCGTTGCTTTGCACTGCGCAGCCCTGAAAGGCGTCCTTGGCATTGCGCTGCAGTGCTTGGCATTGTTGAGCACTGCTTGGCATGTGTTGGCACTGCTTGGCATTGGTGCGCATTGCTTGGCAATGCGTTGTATTCCGAGGCATTGCTTGGTATTACTAGGCATTGTTTGGCAGCGTGTCGCATTGCTTGGCATTGCGTTGCATCGCTTGGCAGTTGCTGGCATTGCTTGGTTTGCATTACTTTCTCGGCATTGCGTGGCTGCTTGGGGAACACCGAGGAACCCAAGCAGTGACCCACAATAACTACCCTTGCGAGGAAACGGAGGAACCCCGAGGAATGCATCTCTCCAATCACGCCGCGCCCAAAGATTCTTCACAACGCCCCTCAAGCAAAACCTGAATGGCGAAACAGGGATCATGCCCGAGTTACAGCAACGTGGGGCTCAAACGCTCGCCTTCCAAACTTCAAGAGGGCACCTCCCGCTGTGAACAGCAATGCCTGCAGGGACTCATGAGGAGACGCGGGACTCGAGGGTGTATTACAGCAACGTCGGTACATGCTGGGTTTACTCGGGTCCACCTCCTCCTCCCCCAACCGATACCACTACTACTCGGTCTCCTCCTCCTCCTCCTCCTGGCACCTGGCACCTGATGGCACCTGTGTTTCCTGACGCTGTCGCAGTCCTCCTCCTCCTCCTCCTCCTCCTCCTCCTCCTCCTCCTTCACACCCTCCACCTCCTCGGCATCCACATTACGTGTCCCTCCACCCAGGACGGCGACATGGTAAGTGGAGGGCGAGACAAGTGTGGGGAAGACGCGAGGGGCTGCGTCGGAGCATCACACATGGGAGGCCTGAGGTAGGGGGATCGTGATGCGAGAAAAAAATAGCGACGGACAGATTACGCGACGGGTCATCCGCCAGATGTTTCCCCTTATCATCCAACTGCTGCGCTTTCCCTTCTTCTCCTCGATCCACCTGTGCATCATTATCATGATCCCCTCCCCCTCCTACTCCTCATCCCATCACGGCATTATTATTGTCCGCCCCGTCCACACCCTCATACTCCTCCTCGTGCCCATCGAACACCTTATCGTCATTCTCCCACCCCCCCACACCCGCGTCGTACTCCTCGTCGTACCCCTCGTCATTCTACTCATACTTGTTCCACCTGCTCCTGCTCCTGCTCCTGCTCCCGCTCCTGCTCCTGTTCCTCCTCCTCCTCCTCCTCCTCCTCCTCCTCCTCCTCCTCCTCCTCCTCCCCCTCCTCCTCCTGCACCTCATCCTTACCCTCCTCTTAGTTTGATCCGCCTTCCCCGCATCGTCCTCCTCCTCCTCCTCCTCCTCCTCCTCCTCCTCCTCCTCCTCCTCCTCCTCCTCCTCCTCCTTCCTCCCTGCCTCCCTCCCTCCCTCCCTTCCTTCCTTCCTTCCTTCCTTTCAGCTGGATGCGCACTTGCCCCGCGCCTGCCCAGTATGCCACCCACCCCCATTGGCAAAGGAGTGGGCGCGGGTCAATGAAGGGGATGCAACCCCTAAAATCCCTCCTCATGGTCCTCCTCATTATCCAACTCCTCAACCTCATCCTCCTCCTCTGCCTTCACCTGTTCTTCCTCATCCTCCTCCTCCTCCTCCTCCTCCCTCCTCCTCCTCCTCTACCTCCTCCTCCTCCTTCTCCTCCTCCGCCTCCTCGGCCTCTTCCTCCTCCTTCTCATCTGCATTCCCCTCCCCCTCACCCATCTCATGTGCTTCCCCCTTCCTCCTGATCGTAAGCCTCATGTTTCAACCCCTCCTGCTCCTCCGCATCGTCTCTCCCTGGAAACGTCCCTGAACCCTCGGCGATTTCAGAATGCCGCCAAACGTCCGCCTCCTCCTTCGCCTCAACATAATGATATCGCACATCTCCCTCCTGCTCCTCCTCCTGCTCCTCCTCCCCCTCGTCCTCCCCGATCCCGCTTCCTCTTCCTCCTCATCAGCCTCCTCCTCCTCCTCCTCAACTTCCTCCTCCTCCGCCTCCTCCCCCTCCTCCTCCCCCATCATCACACCACTCCACATGCTACCAATCCTTCTGCCCCTCGTTTTCATTGCCACGACCGTCACCGCCACCACTATCAACATCATCAACAGCAGCACCATCAGCAACAGCATCATCACCATCGCCATCATCATCATCATCATCATCATCATCATCATCATCAGCATCATCATCATCATCATCATCATCATCATCATCAGCATCATCATCATCGTCATCATCATCATCATCATCACCATCGCCATCATCATCATCATCATCATCATCATCATCATCATCATCATCATCAGCATCATCATCATCATCATCACAATCAGCATCATCATCATCATCATCAGCAGCAGCATCAGCATCAGCATCAGCATCATCATCATCATCACCATCATCATCATTATCATCATCATGGTCATCGTCATCGTCATCGTCATCATCATCATGATCATCATCATCAGCAGCAGCATCACCATCACCAGCAGCATCAGCAGTACCATCAGCAGCAGCAACAGCGTCAACTTCACCACCACCACCATCATCACCATCACCATCACCATGACCATCATCAGCACCATCATCAGCACCATTGTCATCGTCAGCAACATCAGCATTTTGATCAGCAGCAGCATCAATCACCATACGCATCAACAGCATCGTCAAAACTCAAAACGAAGATGAACTCGTACCATCTGCATAAGCACCACCACCATCAGGTAGCATCGGGCCCAGCATCGGCAGCAGCAGCCGCAGCCGCTGCATCATCAGCATCAGCATCACCAAGGTCATCATCTTCCTCCTCTCTCGCCGGATGGCATACTTTGATGGGGGCAGCGTGAGTCCCCTCCTCCCTCCCTACGTGAACCTTGCTTCAGGCCGCAGCGGCAAAACGAGCGAACGCACGAGGGTGCCCAGGACTTCGCTTGAGTTCGCGCCATGCCCCCGACACGGTGCCCGCCACGACAAGGACCTGCAGGGCGAACGGCAGACAGCGCACGGCTCACCGCCGAGAGAGGGCGCTGCCTTCACCACCTCCTCCTTCAGCTTCTTCCCGGCGGCGAGGGCCTCCCATGGGCCGCGCGGCGCAGAGGAGGGCGCAGGCCTGACTGCAGCACCGCCCCCGAGGATCGTCGGGGGCACTGGCGCGGAGCTTCAGAACCTCGCTGAGCACCGTCGGTGGCATCGCTCTTGGTACGGCCGGACCTGGGATGGGAGAACATCCTTCAAGAGCATGAGACCCTCCGCCGGCCAAAACACCCCAAACCCGAAGGTCACTCGAGGGTACCCTCCCCCAGGATGCACAAGAACATCCAACAAACACGAAGAACATGAGAAAACCCTCTCCGAACCGACCTCGATCTTATACCTCGGTCCAACCGTATCGCTGTGAACCGCATGGCCTGCACGAGGTGGACTGGACACCGAGGCAGAGCAGACTGAAGAGGGGCGAGGCCCCTGGACCGGTGACCGCAAGGGCCGCGAGAAGCACGCGGGCGCTAGGGAGCGCGGCGCAGGTGTCGGAACAAATTGGCGTTCTTCGTTTCGCGCCGCGCCAGACGTGCAGAGGCAGATGAGCTGAGGCTCGGCTGCGATGATGGTAGCAGTGACATGCGGTGGCTTGCCTTCTTTGCCATGGCATACCTGTTGTGCTGATTCATGGTGGGGAGACCCGAGAAGGCCCCCCCCCAAGAAAGCCCCGAGAGCTCAAGAGCGAACCAATAGAGTCCACAACCGCCTTCAAGAAGACCAAACGACAAACACATCGTTTGACATCTGGGGTCATGATACTGCCCCCTGACTGCGGCCCAGAGATTACAAGATGGCTCCGAAGGTCCAAGACGGTCCTCAGATTACCCCCGAAGGTCCAACATGCCCCAAGCCGCTCAAGATCGCACAACGAGGCCCAAGTATAGCCTGAGGTGGTCTATATGAGCCTCCACATTGCCTAGAAGGCTCCGAGATGCCCCACCCCACGTCAGACCGCCCAACATCGCCGTTCAACCCTTCGTTCGGAAATACGCCACAACAGATTGACAAAGTGGCTCCAGGATGGACACGTGCTGCCCCAGTAACGCCCACGATTGCCCCCAAAGATGCACCGACCTCACCAGGCTGCAACCACATGGAGCCTCACAATGACCTGCAGGCCTGGGGTGCCGGCAGCAGGTGGCGCAGCCCGTCGGAGAAATACGAGTGGGGTAAGTGGAGGGTGGCGAGAGAAGAAGAGGGGAGAAGGAGGAACAGGGCGACGATGAGAAGGCCAGCGAGGACGCAGAGAACGATTGCACCAGCGCGGGCAACGGGACTCGCCATTCCTTAATCATCGTCCTCACGCTCCTCCTCCTCCAACTCCTACTCCTCCTCCTCCTCCTCCTCCTCCTCCTCGTCCTCCTTCTGCACGTCGTCGTCGTCCTCCTCCTCCTCTTCACTTCCTCCCTCCTTCCTCCCACTCCGTCTCAACCTCCTTCTCATCCTCCTCCTCCTCCTCCTCCTCCTTCTCTTCATCAGCATCCTCGTCTTCGTGCTTCTCCTACTCCTCCTCCTACTCCTCCTCCTCCTCCTCCTCCTCCTCCTCCCAGCCATTCTGCTCCTGACCAGCTCACGTGCTGATCTTCTATGTGGACTTTTGTGGAGTAAGTGGGCGCGGGAGGGGAAGGAAGGGAGGGAAACCGGGTCTTTTTAATTACATTCCTCACCACCCCTGACGTGGGACGAACGTGAGACGTCAGGGGGGGGACCGCACACCCGCTCTCCTACCAGAAGGGTAGGGTTTGAAGTCCCTGCGCGCGAGACGGTGTGGGCAAGGAGGGACACCCCAGGTCCCACAAGTTCCGAGGCATGGGCACCATACGCCTGGCCGATACCTCAAGGGAGGCACCAAACGCCTACCCGACAACTTTGCGTCAACCGCGAAACCATGGAACTGTATGCACTCATTGCCTTCAGGGCTTCCTCCTCCTCCTGCTCCTCCTTCTCCTCCTCCTTCTCCTCCTCCTCCTCCTCCTCCCCCCTCCTTCCCTCACATCCTACCCGAGTCGCGGCTAGCCCCCCGTGAAGAGCCCCCCGCTCTTCGGATTCTCTTGCCCGTGGTAAGAAAGCTCAATGTGCAGCGCATCTGCCCGCGGCCCACTTGCGTGGACCGCGGGCTCGCACGACCAGCGCGCCTCAGGACGAGACGCAGGAGGAGAAGCAGGAGGAGCAAGGAGGGCTTCAACCATCCGCGACAACGATGTCCGCAGTCATGAGCTTTCAAGACAGGAGCAATAGACGGCACACACACATATACTTGTTCAAAGATGTTGGTTGTGTCCACAATGCACCGTCGGGCACGCGGGGCAGGTGACGGCGCAGCCGCAGGCTGGGCAGTCGCACACAAAGGGTGAGCAGCTGTGGCCGGTCGAGTGGATCGCAGCGCCGACGCTGAGTCCCCGGATCACTTCAATGAAACCCTGTTGGACGAGGAGTTCCATGGAAAGGCGTCGGCTCACGCTTGAGCCGAACGTTTGCGGTTCGGCGTCCATCTTCTTTCCATCTCGTTTACACATTGAATTACGGGAATAGACATACACTGACTTACGGGGATAGACATACACACATGTATACACATATGTGTATATATACGACCTATGTATGTGCTCTCTCTCTGTCTCTTTTCTATGTATCGTGATTGCTTCTCTCTCTATATATACATATAGTTCTCTAGCTTTCTCTGTATGTCTATGTATCTCTCTCTTTCTCTGCGTATCTCTCTCTCTATGCATCCCTAGTTCCCTCTGACTGTCTCCCTGTCTCCCCCTTTCTCTCTCTCTCTCTCTATATATGCCGTCTTTCTCGGCGGAAAACGAGTGAGGCAACATCGAGATCAGCGGCGTGCCGAGACATTCGTCGAATGCCGCGGTTGGGACCCTGCTCTCGCTCCAGGCTCGGCGCTCCCAGTGCAAGCGCTGAAGCAAACCACTGTTGCGAAGCCCTCCTGCCCCATCATTCGCAGCCGGGCACGCCACCAGTCCGAGGGGGCTGCTGGTCTGGGCTCGTGGACGCACTGCTGATGGTGGTGACCGTGGCTGCTGATTCAGGACGGCTACAGTCGGGGCGTTGACCTAAAGAACGATAAATAAGGAACGAGGCCCCTTTTAGTAAACTCCGATTTTCCATGGAAAACCTCCGGAAAACCCAAGGAGCACTTTCAAAAAGCAACTAAGGAACACGGAGCCCCTCCCCCCCAAAAAGGGTTCCTTCTTCAGGGGCCCGACTGTAGTCCAAAATGCATCTGAACATGGCAGTCGAGGAGTCGCCAGTCCTGGGGGGGGGCGCACCGGCAGCAGGCTCACGCCGGAAGAGCTTCCCAGCCAGCCTGGAACGTTTGAAACTGAGAACTCTTCATCCTCCTCCTTCCTGCTGCTCTCTCTCTCTCTCGAGAGAGAGAGAGAGAGAGAGAGAGGGAGGGAGAGAGAGAGAGAGAGAGAGACGACGACGACGACGACGACGACGACGACGACGACGACGACGGCGACGACGACGACGACGACGGCGACGACGACGAAGACGACGACGACGACGACGACGACGACGACGGCGACGACGACGGCGACAGCGGCGGCGACGACGACGACGAAGACGACGACGACCTCGGCGGCGGCGGCAACTACGACAAAAGCGGCGGCGACGGCGACGGCGAGGACGACGACGACGACGGCGAACATGGCGACGACGGCCAACGGCGCGAGGGGGTGCAGAGAGAGAGAGCGGCGGCGGTCGCCCCGGGGGCGCCCGGCCTCCTCCTCGGCCTCCTTGGCCTTTTTCTTCGCCACGGGGTCAAACCTCGGCCCCCGCGGCGCCGTCGCCCCTGCTGCGGAAGATAAGATTCTACTGCGGCCAGATGGGCTTTCGTGCGGCCCGGTGGGCTTTAGAACGGCCAAGGGCACTCCGGAGTGCATAAATCCTCGAGAACCATGAAGCGGGCTCTGAAGAGCCTCTTGGGACACTGAAGGCAGAGCCACTTGGGTCCCCCTGAAGAGCCTCCTGGGCACCCTGAAGAGCGTCTTGGGGCTCTGGGCCCCCTGAAGGCTCCATGAAAAGCCTCTTGGGCCCCCCTGAAGAACTTCCTGGGCCCCATGAAGAGCGTCTTGGGGCCGATGAAGAGCTAGTTGGACCTCTATAAAGCCTCCTGGGGCCTCTAAAGAGCCTCTTGGGGCTTCTGCTGAGCTTCTTGGGGCCTGAAAGCTGCATGGGGCCTCTGAAGAGCCGCTTGGGGTCTCTGAAGAGCCGCTGGGTGGCCTCTGAAGAGCCTCTTGGGGCCCCTGAAGAGCGTCCTGCCCGGGGCTTCTGAAAAGCTTCTTGAGGCCTCTGAAGAGCCCACCGGGGTATATGAAGTGCCTCTCGGGGCCTCTGCAGAGCCTCTGCAGAGCGTTTTGGGGCCTCTGAAGAGCCTCTCGGGCCCCTGAAGAGCTTCTTGGGGGGGGGGCCTCTGAAGAGCCTCTTGGCCTCCCCGAAGAGCGTCCTGCCCACCTGAAGAGCCCCTGGGCGCCCCTGAAGGGCTTCTTGGGCACCTCTGAAGAGACTGGGTCCCTCTGAAGAGCTTCCTGGGGCCTCTGAAGAGCCTCGTGGGGCCCCCTTCTCCCTCTCACCTCCTCCCTTTCCCTCCCCCTCCTGCTGCTGCTGCTGCTGCTCCTCCTCCTCTTCCTCCTCCTCCTCGTTTTCCTGCCTGCCCCCCCTCCTCCTCCTCGAGCGGCCACGCGACTTGCAAACCGGCCGCCCCCTGGAGCACCCTGAACGCAGGAGCTCCTTCCACGGCCGCGGGAAGTCACCGCGCAGCGCGCGGAGCGAAGAAACCCAGCGCACCCCGACGAAAGGTACCTGGTTTCTTGATGCGCGCCATTACTGTATCCTCATCCTCCCTTGGAGATCTGCTAGCCCAGGTCAATGCAAACCTGGGTCAGTCAGGCGCTGCAGGATCCTGCGCAAATCCTGCGCAAACCTGGGTCAATGCACCCTTGGCTTTGCAGGATCCTGCAAGACCCGGCGCTCTGGCGGACCCCCGTTTGCACTGACTCCCTTCCCAAAGCTCCAGACCCCCCCCCCCTCTTCCTCCTCGGCCAGGTCAGCAAGGGCTCCCAGCTTCGCGCTTCGCGCTGCGCGGAGCGCGAAGCGCGAACAACTTCGCGCTCTCGCGCCGCCTCCCAGGGGAGAAGAGGAGGGAGAGGAGGAATCGGAGCCCGAAGCGCGAAGCGCGAACACCTTCGCGCCCTCGAGGGCGCCCTTGGGCCCCCCAGCGGATGCCGCCGCACGCACGGGGGGGGTGGAGCGGGGCGCACGCCCGGCCCTTCTTGTCCACCTGCTTGTTGAACATGCTCGCCATGAGGGCCTTGTGCTGCAGCTCCTTCTCCTTCTGCTCCTGCGGGCGCTCGTCTCGGACCGGGCGGCCTCCCGGGGTCTGGGAGCAGTCGCCTCCGTGGGGCGTCCTGGGCTGGGCTCCTGCAGGGTGTCGGGCTCTCCGGTTGTCGGGGCCTTCCGGGGTGGGGCAGTCCCCGCGGGGGCGGGGCACTGCCGGGTCTCGGATGGCACTCGCTCCTGTCGGTGCTCGAACGCAGCCGTGCTCAGAACTGCGCGTGGCGCACCTTGTGGAACATCTGGGCCGCAAGCCCCATCACGCAGGAGGAGGGCAAACGTCTTGGACTGGGGGGGGGGGCTCTCGTCTTGGACACCACATGGTAAGATCGTCCGAGGACGACCCTGGAGCGAAGAAGACACAGAACAGGAAGGGCGGAAGCAGGCAAGGACGCTGTGGTCATGTAAGCAAGCGTCCTGCTGGACACCTCCCCGACCATGTGGTCAGAAACCGGCTGATCGGGGGGGGAGAGGGCGAGGGGGGGGGGAGGAAGAGGAATAGTTCAGGGAGGCAGGGAGGAAGGGGAGGGGGACAAGGGGGGGAGGAGGTGCACGATTGCGGAAAACGTGGAGGAGGGAGGAACGGGAGGGGGAGGAGGAACCATACGATTTCGGGGGGGTCGGGGGGGCGCCCAGGGTCTTTGGGGAAGAGGCGGACGAGGCCGTGGGCCAGTCTCCTCCTGCGGGCAGAGGGAGCAGCTGAAGCAAGATCGTCCCTTCAGGAGGCGCCCGCCCAGAAAAGCGATCTCGACACACGCCCATCGACTCTCTGATGTGTCACTGGTTGGGCTTCGTGAAGATCGGCCGCGCAATGGACGTGCGCGTCTTTTGCGATTGGGGGAGGTGGCGGAGACGGGAGCCCAGGTGGCCGGGGCCGCGCAGCTGCTCCGAATCGTACCCGTCGACGCCCCGAATGGAGCTCGAAATCGAACCTCGCAAGGGTTCCGAATCTTGCCGCGCACCTGCTCCCGATCCGAATATCATGGTTAAAAACAACACAGAAATTATTTGCTTCGAGCGATCCCCACCGAAACCTGGGGACCATGTCCTCGTCCTCCTGCCCCATGCCTCCTTCCCCTCCTCCTTCTTCCCCCCTCCCATCCTTAGACTGAGGGACGCAGGCGAGGAGGCCGCCCGCAGCGGGGCGGCGGCAAGGACTCGGGGATTCTCGGGACAACTGAGGGTCTGGCCTGGTTGTGGTTTGTTATGTGATGTTTTATTGTGCTCTGGTTTGGTTTGTTATTTGATGTTATGTGGTTCTCTGTGATGTGACGTTCTGCTCTGATTTGTTATGTGACGTTGTGTTGTGCTCTGTGCGTTCATGATATAATTTATGTTGTCATGATGTGTCATACTATGTTATGTTATGCCGTCGTATGTCTATTATGTTGTGCATGGAATGATATGGTATGGTATGAAATGATATGTCATGGTCTGGTGTGTAATGCTGTGACATGTTGTGTGCTGTCGTGTTCGTCGCTATGGTATGTTGGTGTGTTGTGGCATGTCCTGAACGCTGTGTCATGATATGGTATGTTCAGTCGATGAGTGTTACGTTATGCTCAATTGTGTTATGGTATGGTATGTTATGTCGTGTTATGTTATGCAATGTTTTGCCATGACGTGCTTCGTGATGTTTCTTAACGCTGTGCTTATCATGGTATTGCTATGTTATGTTCTGTCCTAGTATGTTGTGTTTTGTTGTGATTTTCGCGTTTGTCGAGGGCGCGAGGCGGGAGTCCCAGGGACTCGGGGCCTCTCGGGACAACTTGGGGCCTGGCGGCCGCGGTATGTAGTCGAGGGCGCGAGGTGCGAGTCCCAGGGACTATCGGGGCCTCTCGGGACAACTTGGGGTCTGGCGGCCGCGGTATGCAGTCGTGTTTGTCGAGGGCGCGAGGCGGGAGTCCCAGGGATTCTCGAGGACTCTCGGGACAACTTGGGGTCTGGCGGCCGTGGTATGCGTGGGGGTGGCCGGGGGGTCTGTTCTTGAAATCTAACAGCCCCAACCTGTCGGGTGGGGAAACCCAACCCTGAAAACCCGCGCGCGAGGTGCACGAAGGGGAAAACCCGAAGCACCCTGAACGCAGCAACTCCTTCCACGGCCGCGGGAAGTCACCGCGCAGCGCGCGGAGCGAAGAAACCCGGGGTACCCTGACGAAAAGCATGTAGTTTCTTGACGCGCGCCCCCACTGTAATTCACCCGACTCTCGCTAGGAAGCTCCGGACATGCCAGACGGGCATCTCCCAAGGGCGTCTTGTGGGGGGAGGCCCGGCGACCTCGCGGGTGGCCCGTGCGCCCGGGGCCCCACGGGCCCCCTGGGAGTCCAGGGTCCTCGAGTCTCAAGGGTCCAGGGCCCCACACACTCTGCGGCCGTTCGCGGCGCGAGACATCCTCGGGTCTGCTGCCAGGAGACCACGAGGGCGGGCGGGTGAGAGGGGGGCAGAAGGAGAGGGGGCGAGAGGGCGAGGGGGCGCGAGGGAGAGAGAGAGAGAGAGAGAAATAGAGATAGAGAGAGAGAGATAGCGGAGGAGCACAAGAGGGCGACAGAGAGAGAGAGAAGGATAGCGAGATTGAGAGAAAGAGAGAGAGAGAGAGACAGACAGACAGACAATCCTTGGAGATCGCCCGCCTCTTCCTCCTCCTCTTCCTCCTCCTCCTCCTCGTCCTCCTCCGCGTCATCCTTCCTCGTCGTCGTCGACATCCTCCTCCTTTTCCTCCTCCTCCCTCCCATTCTCATCCGCCAAATTCTGATATTTCTCCTGTTTCTCCTCCCCCTCAGGCTCCCACTCCTTTTCCGTTTCCTCCTCCCCCTCGTCCTCTCCAAGCTCGCGGCAACACCCCCGGGCGACGGCCGAACTTCCTACTGCCCGTGCGGGGCGATGGGAGATCCAGCCCTGCTACCAGGAGCTGCAAGGGTGACGAGGCCCAGAAAGAGGAAGAGGACGGAGGTGGACAGGAGGAGAAGAGGGGAAGGTAGGAGGACGAGAAGCAAGAGGATGAGAAACAGGAGGAGTTAGAAACAAGACCTGGGAGGTGTTCGCAATAACGAATACACATGATTAAGCCCGATTAGCAAACCCCTTAGCCAAATTGGGCCAGAGCAGGCCCAGGATACATTAAGCTGGATGTTATCTTATTAGACGGCATTAAACGGGCTCTCCCGGGAGAAAGCCGCACGATGGAGGGCGATCCGCCGCCGCTGGCCTGAACAAAATCTCGAAGAGAAGGTCAGAATCCCAGGGGCCCCCGATAACCCCTCCCCGGACCCCCTCCCTCACCCCCCACCCCGGAAAAAACGTAGGCAGTGAGTCTGGACCCACCCCCCAGCCCTCCCAGGAAAATCACACTGGCTCTCCGGGCGAAGGTGGTCTGACTCGGGGACCTTCTGACCCGGGTCATATCCAAACCCGGGGCAGTCAGGCCTTGCAAAATCCTGCAAGATCCTGCGCCCAAGCCCGGGTCAACGCGAAGGATCCTGCAGGCCCTGCAGGATCCTGCAAAATCCGGCGCTCTGACTGACCCCCGTTTGCATTGACCCCCGTCTCAAGGCTCCCGACTGACGAGTTCTTTCTTTCCTCCGGGGAGGGCTACCCTCCCTCTCCCCTCCCTGTTAGGGGGCCTTTGTTCGCCCAACATGGCTCGTGGATGGCCTCCAAGATGGCGCAAGACAGCCAACGATGGTTCAAGGTAACTGCCGACATACCTCTCAAAGGCCCGACAAGGGCCACAAGGCGGTTCCAAGTGCTCTCGGAGCCCCCTCAGTCAGGACCACCCCAGAAGCCCAACTCCTTCAAACATCTAGAACAAATCGATGATTTGTTTTTTTTCCCGCCTTCCCGCTTCTGATGCGTCATCGACGCCTCAGGGCGGCCCCAAGGAGAGACCCAGGAGGGGCCCCCCAAATAAAAAACCACACAGCCCCTGGAGCCCCCAAGAGCGTCCGCCCAAGAGCGCTTCAGGAGACGACGTTGATAGCCGGCCCCTGGGGGGTGGGAGGGGGGGGAGGGTGGAGGGCAGAAACTAATGCCCCCCCCCCTCTGATCGACGGCCTCCGAAATGGCCCCAAGAGACCCTCAAGGGCTCATAAGGGACCTCCAAGTGGGGGCCTCAAAAGGGCCCCAAAAACTTCGAATAGAGCCCCAAGAGGCCCCCCAAATCCCCCGAAAGAATCCATAAAGGGCTCCAAAGGGCGATTTTGAAGGCTCTGTCCTCGTCCTCGTTGTCCTCCTCCTTCTCCTCCTCGTCCTCCTCCTCCTTGCCTCCATCGTTTTGTTTGGTTTCTTTGTTCCCCCTCTTCCTCGTCGTCGTCGCAGTCGTCGTTGTCGTCGTCTTCGTCCTCCTCCTCCTCCTCCTCCTCCTCCTCCTTCTCCTCCTCCTCTCCTCCTCCTCCTCCTCCCCCCCCCTCCTCCTCTGCCTCCTCCTCCTCTGCCTCCTCCTCCCCCTCGCCCTCCTTCTCTCGCCCTCCTTCTCTCGCCCCCGCGCGGGCCCTCAGGACGGCCCGAACGTGCCCGCCAAGGCCACCCCCTTGCACCCAAATCGTATGGATTGCAGAATGACTCTTCTGGATTTCCTTTGGAGTTCTTTGGATGTCCAAAAAGATGTCCCATGGATTTCCTAAGGAACCCTATAGATTGCATCAATAATCCCATGAATGTCCCACAAGATCCTATGGATGTTGAGAAACATCCGACGGATTGCATCAAGAATCCTATGGGTTTCTTCTGGGATCCTATCGATTTCTGGAATAACGCGGTCGACGTACAAAGGACTCCTACGGAGTTCCCCGTGATTTCCAAGGATCCCCTTAGCACCCCAATGGGTTTCCCAAGGAATCCTATGGATGTCCGAAGGAATCAAATGGATTTCCTCTAACATCTGGTGGATGTCCTAACGAACCCTATGGATTTCCGAAGGAACCTTATAGATTTCGCAAGGAATCCTATGGATGCCCTAAGGGGTCCGATGGATTTCCTAAGGACTCCTATGAATTTCCTGAGGAAGCCCATTGAAGTCCAAAGGATTCCGATGGATGTCCTCGCGAATCCGATGGATGTCCTCACGATTCCAATAGATTTCGTGAGGAACCCGATGGATTTCCGAAGGAATCCGGTAGATTTCCGGAGGAAACCGATTCATTTCCTGAGACATCGTTTGGTTTTCCTCAGGAACCCGATGGATTTCCGAGGGACTCCGACGGATTCCTCAAGGATTCCAAAAGATTCCCTAAGAGGGATCCCATGGATTGCCGAAGGAATCCTA